AAAATTAATTTAAAATTTAACCCCGAACCCAACGATATCACTAGAGAATTGAAAATTTTCACTTCAACGATTCGTAATCTCGTTTCTTCGAAAAAAATGTAACCCTCCTCATGAATAGTTATCATCGATCGAATTCGAGACGTCTTATCGTAACTGTCTCATCATTCGATAACGAGTTTCCGTGAGTTTTCGATTATATCGCGATGATTCATAGCTCAAGTTTCAACATTTTCATCAGCATCGTAGATTTTTTATTTTGAGCCATGAAAAGGAGGGGAAACGGAACTTGAAACATTTTAAAAACTTTTTAAATCGTTGATCGATGGAAATTAGATATCGTTTAAAATTCACGATTCATCGATTAACGAGGAAAAAATTAAATGTATAATATTAAATGTTTCGTTGGAAACGTTTCTTTTGGATCGTTAACGTTTCAACATTATGCGGTGGAAGAAAGCTAAGATGAATTTTAGATAAGACGGGATTAAAGTACGATAAAGAGGGGAAATGGAATATATACAGAGTACTTGAGAGTTGTAATTCGTGGTTGGATATGTGAGTTTCTTTTATGAGACTGCATACGGAGATTATCATGGTTTAGTGTGTTGTTTGAATCTAAAATGTTGCACAACGATGTTGATAGTATGAATAATACTGCAAGGAATTTGTGGATATGCATATGATAAAATATATAATGAAATCATGAAATAAAACATTGAAAAAATTATTAATTTTAAAGAAAGTTTTCAATTCTAAATAAATTTGTGAAATTATCAAATATAAATATTTCAAATAAAATGAGATAAAAAAAAAGAATAAATATAAATATATTTGTAAATATTTGTATTAAATAGAAATATAATTAAGAAAAAATTTAGATTTATAAAATTTCTAATTTTCGCAAAAAGATAAAAAATTGAATAATATGATTATTTTCAAGAATAAAATTTTGTAATCTATCGATCAAAAGATTCTTCGGGATCCAAATAGTCGGTAAAACAGATCGTAGATGGCAGCACGAATCATTCAGTTTCACTCGTTGCATGGAATAATTAACAACGAGATCGCGAAACAGAAACGATAAGCTTTCACATGAAATTTTGGTAAATTTTAAACGTGAAAACGATTGAAATTGGATAATTGGAATTTATTCGTGCCATTTTCGAACCGGATTAACGTGAACTAATCCGAGCAAATTATCCAAAAGATCGATTCTACTTTCTCTTATTAGCAAAATTTTAACTAAGTAATCGAATTGATATTTATGTATAATTTGCAAATCCATTTAATCTTTTCTAATAAGTAATATTTAATTTTGAGAAATTTTATTCTTTTATGCTTTGCATAAAGATTTAAATAATGAATCAAAATAATAAATTTCGATTATTATTATTAAGAAAATTTATTGAAATTCAATATGTTTAGAATTTATGAATTTTAATGAATTTATATTTCATACTGAATTTATATGTGAGATTAATTATCAGATTATATTTTATTATGATACGTTATATTGTGTTAAATTATGATCATAAAGATATTCGAACTGCATAATTTACATTAAGCATCGTATTTTTTTTTCAATCTACACCAAATTTCATCGTGAAATTTCCAAAATATTTTCCATTTTAAAACACTTATCGAACTTCATCGCTAAATTGTCGCGATACATATCTAATGCAACAATAGAGAAATTATTTCGATTCCAAAATATATAATTTCCATTAAATATCATGTTTACTTTCTACTTTCTTAATTCCTACTATTACTAATTTCCAAAATGATCTCGATTTGAAGTTTCCATTACCTTCACTTCCAAATGACATAATTTCACACATGATACGCAAACAATATTGTTTTCAACTTTGTAATACATAATTTCCAACAAATGTCATACTCCCATTAGATAGCACAGCTCTGTACATTCAATCTTCGATTTCAATACGTTTGCTCTCCATTCGAATTATGATTCCATTTCAAAATGCCACGATATTAGATACATTATTGAAACGTAACGATACAAAACAATACAATGTTTCAACATTATTCCAAAACTTCTTTAAACTTTCATCGTTTCTTCATTTATACCACGAGCCATCAATCTTCCATTGCTATATCATATTTAACTCGTACAATCAACGGATTCAAATCTATAGCAAGAATTATTTACAATTAATTATTCCCCCAAATTCTCAAATCCAATTTCTCAAAAACCTATCTCCCTAAACTCCCACGAATTGTTCCGTTCCGGAACAATTTCAAATCCAACGTTTATTAACATCTTCAAAACCCTTCGATTCCTCAAATTCGATTTCCCCAAACCCGCCCCCAATCTCTCGAAACATCGAGAACCGATTTCATCCCCCACCCCTCTCTCCCTCCCTCCATCCGCACAGAAGCATCGCTTCCGTGTTTTTTAATCCCCCAAATAATCGTCCGCGTAATCGCGATCACGGAACCGAATCGAGGGGCGGGCCTCGAAAACTCGGCGTACAACACACGCCACGAGAGAGAACTATT